AGGGGGACATCACCTGGGCACCGGTGACACAGAGGCTCTACTGGCAGGTGGCACTTGAGGAGTGAGTGGTGTTTGCACCCCTGGCCATCACACCCTGCTCTGCAGGGCTCCAGGCCCGATGCTTTGGGTTTGGGGGTGCCCAAAGCCACGTCCTTGTCCCCATTGTCCTGCCAGGGTTGCCATCGGGCAGTCAGCGACCGGCTGGTGCAGCCAGGGCTGCCAGGCCATCGTGGACACGGGGACATTCCTGCTGACCGTGCCCCAGGAGTACATAGAGAGCATCCTGGAGGCCCTGGGAGCCCAGGAGACCAGCTATGGGGTGAGTGTGGGGGTTTGGGGGGGTCTGGAGCAGTGGGGAGCCTGCGTGGGAGTCAGAGCCCTGGGTTTGACCAGGTCCTACAAAAACTCAGGTGGCACCTGCAGGAAAAGGGACTGCAGGGGGACATCAGGCTGAGAAAGGTGGGGATGCTCAGCCTGGAGAAGAGAACATTGTGTGGGAACCTCACAGCCCGTCCCAGGATCTGAAGGGGCTACAGGGAAGCCAGAGAGGGACTTGGGACAAAGGTCTGGAGTGACAGGGGAAGGGGAGATGGGTTCAGAGTGAAAGTGAGGGAATTTAGGGTTGATGCAGGGAAGGAATTCCTCCCTGTGAGGGTGGGGAGGGGCTGGGGTGATGTCCCAGAGCAGCTGTGCCATCTCTGGCGGTGTCCCAGGCCAGGCTGGAGCACCCTGGGACAGTGGGGGGTGTGGGACCCATGGTGGCACTGGATGGGCTTTGAGGTCCCTCCAACCCAAACCATTCCAGGATTCCATGGGCAGGTTTAGATGAGATTTTGGGAAGAAATCTTGGGAGAGGGGCTGGGGTGGAATTCCCAGAGCAGCTGTGGCTGCCCCTGGACCCCTGGCAGTGTCCCAGGCCAGGCTGGAGCCCCCTGGGGACAGTGGCAGGTGTCCCTGCCATGGCAGGGGTGGCACCGGGTGATTGATTTAAATTCCCTTCCCACCCAAACCGTTCCATGATTTTGCGGTGTGGCGCTTCCAGGGGCGGGGTGTTTGTCCCCCCATGCCCCCTGGCTGCCATGAGCCGTGTCCCTGTCCCCTCAGTACGCTGTGGACTGCAGTGACACCCAGAGCATGCCCCAGCTCACCTTCGGCATCGGCGGCGCTCGGCTCGCGCTCCCCCCGAGCGCCTACGTCCTCGACGTACGTGTGGGGTCTGTGGGGTCCAGCCCAGGGTTCCACAGGGTTCCGTGGGTACTGGGATCCATCCCCAGGGTTCCCAGGGTACCAGGAACATCCCCAGGGTTCCTGAGGCTCTGGGAACGTCCTGAGAGTTCCCCAGGGTTCCACGGGTACTGGGAACACCTCCAGGCACTGGGAACATCCCGAGGGTTCCTGAGAATTTCCCAGGTACCAGGAGCAACCTGAGAGTTCCCCAGGGTTCCCTGGGTACCAGGGGCATCCCAAGAGTTCCCAAGAGTTCCTAAGGCACCAGGAACATCCCAAGAGTTCCTGAGGGTTCCCCAGGTACCGTGAACATCCCAAGTGTTCTCCAGGCACTGGGAACATCCTGAGAGTTCCTGAGAGTTCCTCAGGTACTGGGAACATCCTGAGAGCTCCCAAGAGTTCCCGAGGCACTGGGAACAGCCCCAGGATTCCCCAGGGTCCCCCAGGTACCAGGAATATCCCGAGAGTTGCCAAGAGTTCCTGAGGCACTGGGAACATCCCAAGGGTTCCGAGGGTTCCCCGGGTGCTGGGAACATCCTGAGAATTCCCAAGAGTTCCCCAGTCACTGGAAACACCCCGAGAGTTTCCCAGGCACTGGGAACTTCTCAAGCATTCCCGAGGCACCAGGAACATGCTGAGAATTCCCATGGCACCGGGAACATCCCGAGCAATCCCGAGGCCCCGGGAAGATCCCGTAGCTCCAGCAGTGATGCTCCCCCCGTGCTGACCCCCCGTTATTCCCCCCTCCAGAGCAATGGCTACTGCACCCTGGCCATCGAGGCCACCTACCTGCCCTCCCAGGACGGGCAGCCCCTCTGGATCCTGGGAAACGTTTTCCTGAAGGAATTTTACACCGTCTTCGACATGGCCAACAACCGTGTGGGCTTCGCGCCCTCGGCCTAGGGGAAGCAAATTCCAGCCCCTCTGCCGGCCCACGGAGTGCCACAGCATTCCCAGGGACATTTCTGCTCCTTTCCATCCCCATCCCTCGGGATTTGTGTGCCCATGGATCCTGTAGCAAATAAACCCTGACATCCCAAATGGTCTCTGAGCTCCTGGGTTTGTGGGGAGCAGCTTGAGGGGTTCCAGGGCTCACAATTCCCTTTTCCAGAAAGGTAAGTGCTGGGATGAAGCCCCAGGGATGGGATTCCATCCCCATCCCTCGGGATTTGTGTGTCTGTGTGCCCACAGATCCTGTAGCAAATAAACCCTGCCATCCCAAATGGTCTCTGAGCTCCTGGGTTTGTGGGGTTCCCTGGCTCACAATTCCTGAGGGGTTCCCTGGCTCACAATTCCCATTTCCAGCAAGGTAAGTGCTGGGATGAGCTCCATGGCCCGGGATAAATCCCCTGTCCCCACCTCCAGCCCTCGGGAAGCCTCAGAGTGGAAGCCCCTGAGCCTCCCTGCAGCTGGAGAAGCTTTGCCAAAGCCCCGTGGTGTATCCAGGCGGGACCCTGAGGCTGTGAGGTGAGTCAGGACACCCAAATGACCCCTGAGCCCTGAAACGGGGCTGGAAAACCGCACTGGAATATCGGGAATTGGGAGGAGGTGTGCCCCAAGGGGATGGGGAACACCCCGGACAAGGGAAGGTTGGGTGACCCCGCTGTTTCCCAGAGTTTCTGAGAAGTTCTTTATCACCAGAGCTGAGTCAGGACACCCAAATGACCCCTGAGCCCTGAAACGGGGCTGGAAAACCGCAATGGAATATCGGGAATTTGGAATACCGGGATGGGGAACCCTGGGCAGGGGGAGGTTGGGTGACCCCGCTGTTTCCCAGAGTTTCTGAGAAGTTCTTTATCACCAGAACTTCTTTATCACGACACCCAAATGACCCTTGAGCCCTGAGAAAAGCCTTGGAAAACCTCATTGGAATATCGGGAATTGGGAGGAGGTGTGGCCCAAGGGGATGGGGAGCACCCCGGGCAGGGGGAGCTTGGGTGACCCCGCTCTTTCCCAGCACCCAGAGTGGTTTTTTAGGTTTTTAGCAGTTCTTTATCACCGGAGCTCGCTCTCAGATGCGTTCGGGGCTCTGTCACCTCCCGGGGGAAGGACACAAAGTCAAAATATTGACACAGGCTGAGCGCGCTGAGACCGAGATTAGGAGGGCACCGACAGCAGGGAAGGGCATTCCTCATCCTCCTCATCCTCCTCCTCTTCCTCCCTCTGGAATGGGAATTTTCTGCTGGAAACAGGGCGGTGGTGCCCAGCAAAGGCTGACCGCGTCCCTCTGCTCGTCGCTCTCCCCTTTGCTCCCTGCAGGACCTGCCCGGACCCATCGGGAACCTCGTGGGGATTTCCCGAGCTTCTGAAGGATTCCCAGCATCATTCCACGGCCAAAAGCTTGGATGGGAGCTGGACGGCTCCTGCCCATTCCCAGAACACCAGCAGCAGGAATTTCCACTTGCTGGAAGGGGCGTGTGCGGCTGTGCCTTTGTTTTCCGGAAAGCTGGAGCTGGGAGAAAAAAACATTCTTTAATTGGGTGATAACGACGGCGTTTGGCTTTTGATCGGCGTCCCGTGTTCGGGCTGGGGGTCAGGAGGGGAATCAGGGTGGATGTGGGGACACTGCTGCCCTGCCAGGGTCACAAACAGCTGGAGGATGGTGCAAGGAGTGGTAAAAACCTGGTGCGAGGAGCTCCGTGAGCCCCGTGTGGTGCCAGTTCAAAGGGATTTAGGATCCTGCTCCAAAGGGATGTGGGATCCTGGTCCAAAGGGATGTAGGATCCCAATGCAAAGGGATGTAGGATCCTAATGCAAAGGAATGTAGGATCCTGGTCCAAAGGGATTTAGGATCCTGGTCCAAAGGGATGTAGGATCCTAAGGGATGTAGATGTAGGATCGTAGTCCAAAGGGATGCAGGATCCTGGTCCAAGGAGCTTCACGATCCCCCCTGGTCCCAGTCTAAAGGGATGCAGGATCTCCCAAAGGGTCCAAGGAGCTCCACGATCCCCCTGTGATTCCAATCCAAAGGGATGCAGGATGCTGGTGCCATGAGCTCCACGATCCCCCGTGTTCCTGACAGAAAGGGATGCACCGTCCTGGCTCACGGCACTGCACAACCCCAGCACAGCGCTGCCTTCACCTCCCACCCCATCCCTCCTCTCCCGAGCCGTTTTTGGGGTGGAAATTCCCACTTTAGAGGAGAAAACACACATTTTTGGGGAGGACGCTCCCCCGTTTCAGGGCAGGAAAGCGCCGAGCCCGAGCCCCGCCGTGGCCGGGCGGGGACTACAAGTCCCGGCAGGCGCGGACTGCAGCTCCCGGCGTGCCCGGGACCGGCAGCGCTGCGAGGGCAGCGGAACGGGCCGGGCGGGCGCTGCTGCTGCCCTCCCTCGGCACGGGGCCGAGCCGGGCCGAGCCGAGCCCAACCGGGCCGGGCTGCGCCGAGCCGAGCGGAGGAGCGCGACAGAACCGAGCCCAACCGGGCCGGACTGCGCCGAGCCGAGCCGAGGAGCCCGACGGAACCGAGCCCAACCGGGCCGGGCCGAGCCGAGCGGAGGAGCCCAACAGAACCGAGCCGGGCCGAGTGGAGCCGAACTGAGCCGAAGAGTCGAATCGAGCGCAGCCGAACCCAGCCGAGTGGTGCCGAACCGAGCCGGGCCGAGCGCAGCCGAGTGAGCCGAACAGATCCGAACCAAGCCGAGTTGGGCCGAACTGAGCTGAGAAGAGCCGAGGAGCCGAACCGAGCCGGGCCGAGCGCAGCCGAACGAAGCCGAGCCGGGCCGAGCGCAGCTGAACGGGGCCGAACCGAGCCGAGGAGCCGAACCGAGCCGGGCCGAGCGCAGCCGAGCGAGGCCGAACAGAGCCGAACCGAGCCGAGGGCCCGAACCGAGCGAGGCCGAGCAGAGCCGAGCGCAGCCGAACCGCTTCGTTTCCTCGCCCTTCCCCACGGGTGAGTGCGGGGCCGGGGGTCCCGGGGGTCGCTGGGGACAGGGGGGGCCCCCTCGGCTCGGAGCCCGCCTTGTGGGGTGCTGGGGCGGCTTTGGGGTGCTCCCCTCTGTCCTGCGCCGTCCCGGAACTCGGAGTTGCTTTTTCCCCCCTTATTTTGCTGTAAATAATCGCCCTCCCTCGCCCCCGGGAGGCTCCAGAAGCTCGTCCCGGTGCCCTCTCCCAAAACTCGGCGGTCCCTGGGGTTTTGAGACCCCCGGCAGCTCGGGGGGACCTGCCCGGGTCGCTTTTCCCATGGGGAACCCCCCCCGAACACGCCTGGGGAAACTGAGGCACGGATGCTCCGGGACAGCCCCCGGTTCGGGGGACGCAAAGTGGGGACTTTTCCCGTTTAGAAAAAAATGGGAAAATTGAGATACCTCGTGTCACTCGGCTTTTGGGGGGGTCGCCAAGAGGACACGCAGCTTGTCCCCCCTTCTTGGGGAAATTTGGGGGGGAATAGAGGGGGCTGCCCCGGAGCGATTAATTACATTCATGAATTAATTACGAGGCAGGAAAGGATTACGCAGCCCCCAGAGCTTGGGGGCAGTCAGATGATGGGGGGGGGGGGGGGGGGGGAATTTCCTTAAAAAAAGCAAAAACGAAAAAAAAAAAAAGTAAAAAACAAAAAGAAGAAGAATAGAAACACGAAGAAAATCTGGTGGTTATTGTGCTGGTGTAAGATAAATAAATAAGCCGGTGCGAGTCCGGGGGAAGCAGGGCTCTTTTCCAGGAATCCCGGCGTGTTCCCCCCCTTGGGTGTTTTTTATATAACAGAGGCCGGCAGGCAGCGCAGGGAGCCTTTGGGGGGGTTATTTTATTTTTTCTTTCCCCCCCCTTCCCTGTGCTTCCCTGCCGTGTTTGCTTGGCTTCATGCACGGCTGCTCCGGGCTGGGAACGGGGCTGGTTTGTCCCAGCCTGCTCTGGCTCACCTGCTGCAGCAGGGGGGAAATCCCAAAGCTGGGCAAGGGTGGGAGTTTGGGATTGGGGTGGTTGGGTTTGGGGGGGATACCCAGATTTGGGGTGGCTGGATTTGGGAGGAACACCCAGATTTGATGGCTGGATTTGAGGGGAACACCCAGATTGGGCTGGCTGGATTTGGGGGCGACACTCAGATTTGGTGGCTGGATTTGGGGGGAACATCCAGATTTGGGGTGGCTGCATCTGGGGGGAACACCCAGATTTGGGATGAATACCCAGATTTGGGGGTGGCTGGGTTGGGGGGAATACCCAGATTTGGGGTGGCTGGATGTGGGGGGGAATGCCCAGATTTGGGGTGGCTGGGATTTGGGGGAACACTCAGATTTTGGTGCTGGTGCTGGGTCAGGCCAGCACGTGGAGATGTTTTCCGAGGGACGCTGGGGTTTGTTTCCTGCTGAATTCTGGGTTTGTTTCCTGCTGAATTCTGGGTTCGCTTCCCGAGGGATGCCGGCCCCCGCGTGTTTTGTGGTTTCTGAGCGATCTGCCCGCCCTTATCAGTAGGAAACTGCAAACTGTGCCGGGGTGGAGCTGCTGGATGGGGCCATCCGGGTGTTTGGGATGGAGCCCTGAGCCCAGCCTGGGATTTCAGATTTTATTGCTTTTTCCACTCTGCACGTGTGTGTGTGTGTGCTCCTGGTCTGCCCTGCCCTGTTTTCCTGGAATGCTGGAATGGGAGTGGGAAAAGCCCCTTGGGATGATGTGTGGGGTCACCATTCCCAGGGCTGAGCAGCACAAAAAAGCAGGGAAATGGGATTTTGGGAGGGTGTCCCCCTCCAAAAATCCACAGTGCTGAGGGTAAAAACATCGTGGTGTTGTGCGGTGTTGGAATGGGGAGCTGGGGGGTCTGGATTTGGTGTTTCTCCCTCATTTTCTGGGGTGTAGATGGCAGGGATGGAGCTGCCACACCCCTGTCCCCTCTGTGGGGACAGAAATTCCCATCTGGAATTTTTTTGGAGTGTTTTTAGGGGGTACCTCAAGCTGGGTTTGCCTCAAGGGAGCTGTTTTGTCAGTGTGTGTGTGTGGGGTTATCCCGTATCCCAGGCAAAGAGGAAGCGGGCAGGGGCCAGCAGCAGTCAGGGGCAGTCAGGTGATGGGGGAAATTTCCTTAAAAAAAAATATTAAAAACCCCAAAAAAAAAACCCAAGGTGGCCTTCACCACCTCCATGAGCTTTTCCAAGCTGCGTGGAGGCAGCTGGGGTCACTCTGGTGGCTCTGTGACACTTTGGGAGGGTCTCAAAGTGGGGATTTGTCCCTGACCACGCTGGGATTTTGTGCTCATCTTTGTTTTCCTCTTGCTGGAGAGCCCCCCCATGGCTCTGCCCTCATCCCTCCCAAATTCCTGTCCCCGCTCCGGGCACCTGGCTGCTGCTTGGGGCAGGATCTCCCTGTGGATTTCCCAGTTTTTGGAATAATTTTCACCCCACTTTATGGGAGGTTTCTCCCAGTTTTTAGGATAATTTCTCCCCACTTTATGGGTGGTTTCTCCTCAATTTTTAGGATAATTTCTCCCCCACTTTATGGAGGTTCCTCCCCAGTTTTTAGGATAATTTTTCCTCACTTTATGGGTGGTTTCTCCCCAGTTTTTAGGATAATTTCTCCCCACCTTATGGGGTGGTTTCTCCCCAGTTTTTAGGATAATTTCTCCCCACTTTCTGGGATGATTTCTCTCCACTTTCTGGAATGGGCACCCTGGGATGGTTTGGGTGGCATCACCTGGCCGGGCTCACCTGGGCGGGCCTCAAAGTGTCCCCAGTGTCCCTTCAGGTTGTGCCACCTTATCTTGAAAGCCTCTTCTAGGAATCGCCCCCGGGGTTTTGTCACCTTTTGGCTCCAGACAAACTCCCCACACCCTGAGCTCTTGCCTCCTTTGCTTAAATGGCTGCAAATTCCGGATAAACCTGAAATTCCCAGTGTGGGGATGGCCACGGGGGGTTCTTGGAGCCTCAGGGACCAGCAGAGCTGGCTCCTGTCCCGGCTGTGCCCTCGGGATTTTGGGAATATTTTGGAGGAAATGGGGAAGGGGCTTCACCCACCTGGCACGGATTGCTGCCAGGTGAGGAGGGAGCAGGCTTGGGCTGAGTATTTTGGGCAAAAAGGGGCAGGAAAAGGAGAAATCTGAGTGGGGAAAAAACCTCTGAGCTGCTGCACTGCTCCAAGCAAACGTGCCTGGGAGATTTTGGGGAGTGGGAATATCTTGGAGGAAATGAGGAAGGGGCTTCACCCACCTGGCACAGATTGCTGCCAGCAGGTTTGGCTGAGCATTTTGGGCAGAAAGGGGCAGGAAAAGGAGAAATCCCAGCTGGGATTTTGGGGAGTGAGAATATTTTGGGGGAAATGAGGAAGGGGCTTCACCCACCTGGCACAGGTGAGGAGGGAGCAGGCTTGGGCTGAGCATTTTGGGCAAAAAGGGGCAGGAAAAGGAGAAATCTGAGTGGGGAAAAACCCTCCGAGCTCCTGCAGGGCTCCAAGCAGAGCAACGTGCCCGGGAGAAGGGGCACCGTGCCAGGCCAGGGGCTGGGCTGGCACCAGGGGCTGCCCGGGGAGCAGTTTGACCTTGAGGGAGCAGGAAAGGCTGCGGGCAGAGCTGGCACCAAGGAGGGCACAGCACAAACCCCTCAGAGCGGGCGAGGTGGGCACGGCAGGGGATGCCAGGGGGGCTGGTTGGGGAGGGCAAGGCAGGGGCTGTCCCCGATTTGTTTATTTATTTCTGGGGCCTGGTCCCAAGGAGCTCCAAGCGTCCGGGCTGGGCGCTGGGGGCTGGACGTGGGGTATTTATAAATGTGGCACGCTTGTGGCAGCGTGGGGATGGATGGAGGCGGTGATGGGAGTGCCTCCAGGGAGGGGACAGGGGGTGGCCGCTGTCACCTGGTGCTGGTGGCACCAAGGGCTTGGGGCGCCCGGAGCTCCTGGGATGGTTTTGTCGAGCATCGCCGCTTTCTGGGGTGGTTTGTCCCCAATTTCTGGGCGGTTTCTCGTCACTTTGTGGGATTATTTCTCGCCACTTTCTGGGGTGGTTTGTCCCCAATTTCTGGGCGGTTTCTCTTCACTTTGTGGGATTATTTCTCGCCACTTTCTGGGGTGGTTTCTCTCAATTTTCTGGGATGATTTTCCCCGCTTTATGGGGTGGTTTCTCCTCCCTTTCTGGGATGGTTTCTCCTCCCTTTCTGGGATGATTTTCCCCACTTTATGGGGTGGTTTATCCCCACTTTTTAGGATGATTTTTTCCCCCCTTTCTGGGGTGATTTCTCCCCATTTTCCGGGATGATTTCTCCCCACTTTCTGGGGTGATTTCTCCCCATTTTCCAGGATGATTTCTCCCCACTTTATGGGGTGGTTTCTCTCCACTTTGTACGATGGTTTCTCCCAACTTTCTGGGTGTATTCTCCCGATTTCTGGGATGTTTTCTTTCCACTTTCTAGGGTGATTTCTTTCCACTTTCTGGGGTAATTTCTCCCCACTTTGTGGGATTATTTCTCTCCACTTTCTGGGGAGGTTTCTCTCAATTTTCTGGATGATTTTCCCCCACTTTATGGGGCAGTTTCTCCCCATTTTATGGGTGGTTTCTCCCCAGTTTTTAGGATGATTTCTCCACACTTTCTGGGGTGGTTTCTCTCTACTTTTCTGGATGATTTCTCCCCCCTTTCCGTGATGATTTCTCCCCATTTTCTGTGATGATTTCTCTCCATTTTCTGGGGTGATTTCTCCCCATTTTCTGTGATGATTTCTCCCCACTTCTTAGGCTGATTTCTCCCCATTTTCTGTGATGGTTTCCCCCCCTTTCAGGGATGGTTTCTAGGATTTCGGGGCGGGTTGCAGCGCTGTCCCAGCCCCCTGGAGCAGTGTCAGCCCAGCCGGTTCCCCCGATTGCTCATTTATTTATGCGCTTCTTTCCAAAGGCCAACACCCAAACCCCGGGCCGGGCTTTCCCTTGGGGGCTGCGCTCCTAAATCTCCTTTTTTCCCTCCTTTTCCCGGGATGTGCAGC